GAGTAGCTGCGCCAGCGCACACGGTGTGCCAAACTTGCAAAATCCGCCTGGCCACACCCAGTTGGCGAAGCGCAGGTGTGCTGTGCCTCCGCTGTGCCCTGTCTGCGAAACTAGAGCCCATAATGTTCACAAGAATGAGACAATTGCTAGATCACAGTGACCTTGACCTTTGACAACCAAAATCTAATAAGTTCATCCTTGAGCCTGACCAAATATTTGTCCCAAATTTAAAGACATTTCCTTCAGGCATTCTTGAGATAATGTGTTCACAAGAATGTGACAGACAGACCACCTGAAAACATAATGCCAAAGGCCACAGCTATCACCAGCATGGAGGCATAAAAGCTTCATCGCAGTCAGGCTGCTTTAACCTCCCACTCTGTTTTGTTTACTTTGCTGTCTATCTGTGCTGTCACTGCATCTCACCATGTTCCAGGCAGCCAATCTGACTTATTTCCAAAGAAGACAGTCAGCTCCCACACATACACACATCATCTCTGCATTGATTTATTTTCAAAGTCATCGTTTCGGTCACAATGACCTTTCACAAGATATATTTAATCTGACACCAAATCTGAGTTACTCCTGTCCAATTACATTTTAATCTTTGGTTTCTCCTTTGGGTTTTTTCGTGGTAAATCTGTTGAAGTACAGCAGTGACAACAGCATGTTAGTTATACCTGTAATATGGCAGAATTACAGACACTGTAATAAATATATTTTTTACAAGTTCTTATCCTGTGTCCCTGTGTGAAGTCAAGTTAGTTATCTCTTGTTTAATGTCATGTTTGATGTTTATCTTAAAAAAATGTCCAGGAAGACAGAGAAGGAAATCTACCTCCTGGTTGATTTAAATCCCTCTAAAACTTGTATTACTACAGAGATCCTAAAGTCTCGAAAGGTGATATTTCTTTAACTTTTTCCTACAAGATCATTAACTTGTGCCCACAAAATTAAAAAAATATCATCTTTCGGGACTTTAGGGGCTCCTTATATCACAAAAACTAAAGATGCTCTAACTTTTGTTTCACTGTAACTTCAACTGCTCAAGTGCCACATCAGTGCCTCACCTTTGTCAGTTTGATGAAAGCCGAGCAGTTGGACACAATGTTCTTATGTGTGATCATAGCTCCCTTAGGGTTTCCTGAAAGCAAACACACACAAAGCACACATGCATCTTTAGAGGCTGAATGTACATGGGGTATGAATTTCCAAATACTCATGGAAATTACATTAGGTGCAGTTAATTCTGTGTGTGTGTGTGTGTGTGTGTGTGTGCGTGTGTGTCACCTGTTGTTCCGCTGGTGAAGCAGATAATGGCCATGTCGTCAGGTTGTGGAGGCTGCGGGGATGGGGGTGTCAACAGTCAAACATCGCCACATAACACGTCATTTAAGGGGTGACTAGTACTACGTCATTTACTGGCCGGTATTTACTTACCACTGGTTGGCGATGGTTGGCCTTCCCGATGGCCTGCACAACAAGAAAAACACATTTATGAAGGCATTGTAGAGGGAATAAAGAGACAAAGTAAGACAAGAAAGCAAGTAATAAAGACAATCTAATAGAAAAAAAAAACAAGATAAATGGAATGAAGAAAACACAAGAAGGAAACTAGCAAGAAGAGAGCACAAATTAAATGAATTTGAACAAAAGCAATATATGAAAGGAAAGTAAGAACAAAACAAGCTGGCAAGAAAATTAACACAAAAATACAAAAAAGCATGACAAAACAAAAACTAAACAACAATGCAAAGACCCAGAAGAAGAACTAAGTTAAAGAGAAACAAAAAAAAAGAGAAAATGGAAGGTGAGAGTAAAATAACCGAAGCTGACCTCCATCTCCTGCAGGCTGAGGATGTGGATTCCAGCCTCTTTTCCCCTGTTGACCAGCTCGTCACTGGGGGTCTCCATGAGCACGATGGTTTTCACAGTGTGTTCCCTGTCCCCGACACAGTTCAGTACGAGGTTAGCTTTATCCACCACGTCACACACTATAGTCGAGATGGAAGCTTCAGAAACAACAGACAGATAAGGTTACATGAAGGTCTTCACCAACAACAACATTGACATATATGAAGCATCTGAATGTATGAGATTATGTTGATGATGCTGTGGTTTACCTTGGTCTATGATGTAGTTGATGGCTTCTGTTCCCAGTGTGTCGTACAGAGGCACTGACACAAGAGAATAGGTGTAACATGCCAGCTCACTGATGGTCCACTACACACAGACAAACACACACACACACAAGCATTATAGGGTAATCCATTCTTAGAGTTCATTGTTGACTTTACAGATAATTTACTACTATGTTTAGTTGCGCTTTTTAGCCCGCCTCAATTGGACTACGGTTTGTTTTTCCTCTTGGTGGAACAGGTAAGATAAGATAAGATAAGATAAGATAAGATAAGATAAGTTTATTTAGCTCCTTTAACTTTAGCTTTAGTTATGCTATGTAGCGTGTGAAATAGAGTGTGGTGAATGTGCTAGGAAAGGTAGTATCAGCCCTGCTTCTACCT